ATATTGGTGGACTGTAGCCTGTGATATCATATATCGGAATCAGCTAGGTTCGACCGTCATCGTATCCTCAACCCGTGCGCAGCCACTGTCATTCTTGAAATCAAGATAGTTGGGACACTTGTACATTATTTAAAGTTTATATATTTTTAGTACAAACTGATTTAAATATTAACAGTACTGTATGTTTTCTTTAAATTTATAATCTGTGCATAATTAATATAACTATTATAATTATTCTCACTTGACGCTGTAAGCGATTATTGTAAGACATATTTCCGATGGTAACTAATATAATAAAATATATACTACCATACGTCTTGTACATGAACTGTAATGTGGGAAGATAGCTAGACCAAACATTGCCAAATTGTTTCCGGCCCGTGCCAGTGACACTTGCCACGTCCGGTAATAACTTCCCGCCAAATATTATTCTCCAAGAAGTATTGCATTCGCCGCCACCCGTAAAGTGATGACAACGTTCCATTGAAATGAAACTGTCGCGGAAAACCGAAAGTAGCTATTACAGCCAAAACAAGGTCAACTTGGACGTTCAGTTGCGAGACATAACAAAAAAACCGCAGGCAGTGATACATTGCGAAAATAAAAATACAAAATAAACGCAATCAGAGGCGCCGACCACGCGCGTTGGAAATAAATAGAACGCCTTGTGACAGTCTTACCAGCGTCTTTCGCTCACAGCAATATAATAATGCTATTTCCCAACGCACTTATATTTAATACATTGACGAAAAACACCCCAAGAAAAATGTAAATCAGGCTTGTAATTACTAGTAACTCAACTCGAACGCAATATTCATCACTGTAAAAGTGGATAAATTCGAACCAGCCAGCTCATGGCCGGAGACGTCCGGTCGTCTTCGTTGATACCTCGCCAATTCACCACAAGCGTGGTGATAAACTGTTTAGCTGATTTTTCAAAAGATGGACATTCAATTCATATTCATCCCAACTTATTTGAATATTCTTTCTGAAATTTGAGACATTGTTAAAAAAAATCCTGTACAGGGATGTCTGCCAACTAATAATACGTAATTATCCAGGCAATACTAGAAATTATTGCTGATACTAATCATGTTTTGTATTTGGAAGTTGGATACTTGAACGTGTAGTTCCCGGGAGTGTGGCAGACGAGCACAATCGTACTGTGTCGCATGTTTTTCGTCTTAGCCTTGTCTTTTCGTCTTAACCGTCGCAGTTTGTTCATTGAATGTTTAGTTTAATAATTGTTAAACGTATATTCAGTGTGAGACTGTTTAAAAGTTGCGTTAATACAAAGATGATTTGAACTTGTCCTTCCGTTGCCAACGTATTCAATATACGGAAATAGCATGTATGTGTGTGCGTTTGCGTGAGTGAAAGATGCAGGCGAGATTACTGTCGCAACGCGTTCTATTTATTTCCAACGTGTGGTCGGCGCCTTTGATTGCGTTTATTTTCTTTCATTCGCGAAATCTATCACTGGCACCGTTTATTTTGTCGTCTCACAACTGAATGTCCAAGCTGACTTTGTTTTGGCTGTATATCCGGCAAAGTCTTTAAATATGCAGATTTCTTGTAATAGTCTCGTGTGTGTGGCGCCACGTGCACTATCTGGAAATTGAAGGAAACGCTTGTACTCATTGTTTACGAAAGTCAGCTTCCGGACGACGCTTAGATCTCCAATTGAATGACAACGCCAGGCGCGGAGTGTTACATTGCTTCAATTAGAACGACTCTATTCAGCAAAATTAAGAGGCGGCGGCACGAAATGTTTCAATAGGGGCGAGATTTGCTCACCAGCCCTCGCGCCGAAGGCGCGGTCTTACTAGGGGGGTCCAGGGGGTATGCCCCCTTAACAATTTTGAAATCTCGACCTCTGAAACGCTATTTTCTGCATTTTTAGGGGCAAATTTTGCCGACACAAATGATTTACGCTTGATTTTGGGGCCTCCAAACCAATTTTCCCGTCACTGAAATTGAACCATTTCGAATCGTAATCCGCAGGAATTGTACGACGTGAGAGAGCAAGGCCTGAAAATACCTGGAAATCCTGTTTAAGCTATTGCTCTTTCATAGTAGAGCAAGTAAATATTGCTATATCAATGTCTTCTCTTGGTTTATTTGTATAACTGACTGACAGTTTGATTGTGCCGTCGCCAAGAAGCCCGCCTGGGCTAGACACAATGAGTAAATCTAATCCAAACACATATTGGGACTAGATTAAAGAATTACAACGCACTGAACAAATCACCTTCAAAAGGCCTTTGATTCTGTACGACATGAAGGTTTAATGCACAAGTTGAAACGAATGGGATTCAATAATTATGTTGGCTGTGTGAAAACCGAAAAGGGCCTGACGGACATCTTTCCTGTGCAAAGGGGCATTAGGCAGGGTGATGGTCTAAGCCCATTATTGTTCAATATATATATATTAATGACATAAAAAAGCATATACACTCGTCTGAAAATGATGCACCAACGTTTTTAAATCATAAACCCACTTGCCTATTATACGCTGATCTTGTAATACTATCAGAGACCAAATCAAGGTTACAAGATGCAATTACTAATCATGAGACCTACTGTAAAAAAATGGAAAATAAACATTTAATATTGCAAAATCAAAAAATATGATATTTAACAAAAGTGGCAAAACTTTAAATAAAATAAAATTGTATGAGAACGATCAAGAATTAAAAACAGTATCTTCATACATGTATCTTGGTATAAAACTGAATACCATTGGGAACCTAGATATAGCGCAAGTAGACTTGAAAAACTGGGCTCTGGAGTCATTTCTTCAAACTGAAGCAGATGATCTACTCGGAAACTCAAGTTCCCATCAAAATCTATCTGAAAATGTTTGGCATTACGTACAAACCAATACTCGCTTATTGTGCAGAAATTTGGACATTCGACATAATAGAAAATATTTGATGCACTTATTGTCACGAATGGACAAAATGGCTGCTTATTAGAATTGGGACGATACCCCCTAATAACTACATGTATCAGACAGATGTTTAAATGTTGGTTGAGATTGCGCAATATGCCTGAAAACAGTCTCATAAATGACGAATATAGTTTGGCAATCAATATAGATAACTCAGACAGCCAAGATTGGGTCAAAGACTTAATAAGGAACATGAGTGGGAAAATGGAAACATTAATGAAAACAAATACCTAATAAATATTACCACAGCAAACGAAACAAACTTCAGAATAAACAGTGGAGATTCTCTGAACAATGACAATAAAGGTATTAACCACAGAAATAAACTACGTACTTATAGAAAATTAAAAACTGAAAATCATCTGCTGACAAAAAATAACCCCCTACACAGATCATCAATGACCAAACTAGGATTAAGCGAACATGTTTTACAAATTTAAATGGGCAGATACTAAATAAAATTAACATTACTGAAAGAAGCTGTCCTGTATGCATACTAATGATATTGAAGATGAAGAGCACTTTCTGTTAAAATATCAGATATACAAACATGAAAGACAGATCTTTCTCAACACAATTAGACTGTTCTGAGGGAGAAACTGATACAAGTGAGGGGAAATACTGTCATGCTAAAATGTCTAGCAAAATACATATATGAATGCTTCAACCTAAGAGAAAGCAAATTAAAAAAAACAGCTGCCTCACAGATATCTAAATAAGTAATGTTTATATTTACTTTATTAATTTGTAATAACCCATTCTTAGGCAAGTTTGTTGTTATTTTTGTTTAGTTATTTTTCTACTGGTGTGTCTTTTTTTATTTTTAATATTTCTAACATGGAATGACAACCATGCTTTATTGTATTTAGATCTATGTCAATTTTTAGGATACGACTTCAATAAAGACTATTATTATTACGATTCCCCATATACAGGATTCATACTTCGGACGTAGTATGTTTTGTTGTTCGTCATTATGTCCATGTGTAGTATTTTGATAACATAGTGACATTGATATATTTGGCTTTAAAGGGAAATGTATAAAAATGAGTCTGTATTTTATGAATTTTAATCTAGAATGGAGTTTTTATTTGCTTGCATATTAATTTGCAGTGGCGGCTATATCATCTTGACAATGAAATCGTTTCTTCAATACGTCATATTTTATCTATAGTTATTTAGTCTATAGCGTGGTATACTGAATCATAGCATGGCATGTTGATACGTTTACGTGAAATGGTCTATAGTGTGTGTTGGGGTGTTGAGACTGACACATGAGACTGTACACTCCTGGGTTATCAATTGCTTATATAGTTGGCCCTTGTGTGTGCAATGTACACGGTTAATGTATGTGTGCATTTCGTCAATGGCGTCTTGTTAGTGGGTTCAAATAATATACTATATCATATTTTTGCCCGGCCTTAATTATGTTTCGTTTATTAACATTCTCAGTCCGAATATCGAAAGGAATGAAACAGTCAACACAAAACAAACAAAATTCACAAGACAAAAACACACAAGCGACTGATTATTCACGCCGCGATGCGTGGTGAAATAAACGAAAGAAGGGAACATGAAACTCGAGTACATGTATGTGTATAGATACTGTGCAATAGCGCCCGCTACAATGTTTCTTTGTTTATAACCTTTTTTGTGCTATCTTCAGTTAAATGACATTTTTATTGTTTTGTTATTGACATTGACATAAATTGAATTTCTATTGTTTTGTTACTGACATCAATGGTATTTCTATTGTTTTGTTACTGACATCAATGGTATTTCTATTGTTTTGTTACTGACATCAATGGTATTTCTATTGTTTTGTTTTTGACATAAATGGAATTTCTATTGTTTTGTTAC